AATAACAAGTTGTGTATGCAGTCAAATCGACCATCCTGGGACGTTATGAACATTCTTCATTTAAACTGACATTTCATTACTGGTAAAACAGAGAAAAAAAAGTCTATAGACTAATACTTTTAGGAATTACAGTATGTCACTGTATGTGTAAATATAGACAATGTGCCCTGCTTCTACAGTCAATGAGGAAAGACCTCTGAAGCAGCTAGGCTGATGCAAAATACACCATAGGATAGAAAAGAGACAAAACAAAGAGTTGCCACCCTATCAGGAAGACACAGCCTTGTAGAAATAGGTGCTTGACCCAACTTGAAGAGCTGGAGAATATAAAACTAATCACAAATTGGTTATAAACAGTACTGAAAAAAACCCACACACAAAACAGTTTAACATCAGAATCAACACTGAATGAATGTAAACGACAATGGAGGTTGAATGTTGGAAAAGGATGGTAGTGGTTGGAGCAGTACTCTGATTACTTGAGTAAAAGTAGAAATACTTAGTTACATATGAAAGTCACATGTTCCAAGTGTTACTTGAATACATCATAATATGCTCTCTCTCCTGTGCATGCATAACCCTAAAAACAGCAGGATAGAGGAAGTCCCTTCCTCTATCCTGGTGGAAGCAGCAATAGTGGAAGGATCTCTTCCTCTATCACTGCTTTTGCCTCATCAGTTGTTTAACTCACCCTGGTTACGGCAATGTGAGATGGTTTGTTATCGTGGGGGACATATGGTCCATAACAAATATGAATACACCTCGCAAGTGAACTGAGGAGAAGGAAAACACAAAAAACGACACTAAAATGAATACATAAATATGGTTACAAAAGAGACAAAACAGGAGAACTGTCCATCCATCCATCCATTTTCCTCTGCTTATCCAAGACCAGGTCGCAGGGGCATATTACTAATAGACCTATGCTAAAACAATACAGATAGCTGCTTGTAGGTTATAGTAAATGTACATGGTTACTTTCTGCATTTGTTGATAACACAGAAAATTCATACTACAGATATGATATCACAGGGTAATCACTGAAAGCCTAGTTAGCTACAGTAAATGGTGTCAACACCTTGGGGTTGACCTGGGACTTCCAGTGCTGGTCATTTTGGCTTGAGCTACCATTACAGAGAATGATGGTTAACCATAGTTGGAAGAGGGGAAAAGTGGAGAAAAATTCAGGGCTTAAGGCTACTCTTGGTTTGGATGTGTTCCTACATGATATCTCGCTGATTCTCCATGTGACCATTGGGCTTAAACAGCACCTGAAAAGGAGGATCGTAACATGGTGAGGTATAGAGAAAAATATGCTGACAAAATGCTGCTGGGACCTTGAGTGCTCCTACTCTCCAGGAGCTTTATCTACAAGCCACCCCTGAAGGACAGTTTGGAAACCCACATGGAAGTCTTTTGTAACTCACTGGGGAAAAAGGCCATTGATTGGCGACCGCATAAGACCATGGAAGAGTAGCTGGAGACCTACAGTATAAACAAACTGCATGTGGAATCCTACAGCCTGGGGGAAAAGATGTTGCAATCACCACTACACAAGTCCAGGGAGGAGCGGGTGGAGGGCCAAAGGTAGCCCACATATGGAGCACCATCGGACGGGTAAAGACTGGCTGATTACCGGTGGATTCCCTGGACCTACACTACAGGCCGCCTGGATGTTTGTGGTCTGATCGCTTGTAATGCAAGGAAAGTTGGGGAGAGACACGAGTGATCACCGCTGCGTTTAATGGACTTACTCTTTATAACATAATAGAATTAATCTCTCTACTTTGAAGGATGTTGGTTTTTGTTAAAACCTCTGCATGCTGCATGGCTGTTAAAAAAGAGGGTTTCTAAATTATTTGATTTGTTTAATATTATACCAATTCTGAAAAGAAAATTAATTTGGCTTTAATTTTTACATCTATCAAAACTATTTCGTCTAAACGTCCTTGAAATTAAACTATGTTGGGGTGGAGCAGCTGCTTTTCCTAAGTATATGTAGCAGAAATGACTACATTTATGAACATTAATATTAATATTTAATACCTTGGACAATACTTAGACAATGCACCAGATAGTTTTGAGTGCTATCACACTGCGATTAAGTCAGTAAGAATAATTAATTCAGTCTTGATCTGAAAGCAGTGAGAGTATAAAAATGCACCACCTGTCAAAAACCTGTTCCTAGCTAACACCTCCCTTTGATTTATGGTCCTGGGATAAGTCACACTTCCAAGTCTAAGGCCCACCCACATTTGACACCTAACTTCTGCCTAGATCAAAAGTCCAAACCCCACTTCACTTTTCTACAATGGAACATTTTGTTATAGGTTTTATAACAGTATTATTAGATTTTATTGGGGTTTCCCACACTGCAGAATATGACAGAAGGCCAACTACATACCATAAAGTCTAGCACCTCTTGTGATCACATGGGGGATAACATGGTGTTAAACCATGCCCTACTTGGCAAAATGGCTGCTGAGGGGAACACATTAGATTAGATTCAATTTTATTGTCATTACACATGTACAAGTACAAGGCAATGAAATACAGCATCTAACCAGAAGTGCAATAAGAGCAGTTAGAGAAAACCCTAAACTAACCAATACAGTGGGGGAGAAACATCTGCTTAATTGTTTAATTTTGTGATGAAACATTACATCTATCATCCTTACATCTATCAAATATTTAAAGAGAAACAAACTATGTTTTCAGAGTTGGTTGTCAAGTTTATTGGAAAACCCTAATAAACCCTAATAAAACTAATTTTATGTGCGATTCCTAGTCTGTGGCGGTGTCACTTGGTCCTATTCCCATGGGAAACCCAAATAAAATTCTTTAATCTTTTTATGAATGTAATTATGTGCCATAAAACAATATGCCCCTTTTATTTAGAAGGAATTGAAGTGCAAAAAAGTAGGCGGGGCATTACATGTGATGTCACGTGGATCATACATCTTCAACTTCACACCTCAGTTTGACATGAATTGCCTCTACTCACAGTTAACGTCTGTCAGTCTTCAACCTGAATTAGTTTATTTAGTTTAACAGACCTCTGCTGTTGTTAAAAAACTATTAAAAACAAATCAAAACATGCAGCTGCACTGGGTGACTTTTTTCTTCATTACAAAACACAAGTCCTAAATATTTGTTGAAAGTATTGCCCCAAAAGCTTCAAATGACCTTTTTCCAGCATCTGAAGTGATCTGAAGTAAGCAGGTGCCTGCCTCAGGAGCTGTTGATTCAGTTCTAGGGGAATCATCAAGACTGTTCTCTGCACTTCCATCTCTGTCTGGTTTGGCTCAGCAACCAATCAGGACAGGAACAGATTCCCACAGTCAGTCAGGACTGTGGAAAAAAATCATCGGTGCCACCCTGCCCTCCATGGAGGACCTGTACACCTCACAGGTTAAAAGGAGGGCAGAGAAGATTTCTGCAGACCATTCACATCCTGAACTCAAATTCTTTTAAGTCCTACGCCCTAGACGGTGCTACAGATCACTGACGCCAAAACAACCAGACATATAGACAGTTTCGTCCCCCAGGCCATTACCCTCATGAACAGTTAGTCTAGGTTTTGCTCTTTTAACTTTTGCTTTCTCAGGGTTTTCATTATGCTTAAGCAAAAAAAAAGAAAAAAGAAAAAAGAAACCTTATGGTTAAGGCACAAAACAATATGGTTCTGCGTGAAAACCCTGTGCTTCTCATACAAACACCAAAATTGTCTGTATAAGATCCTAAAAGTACTTTACATAACATCAGCATTTGATGCCCTGGGAATGAGGATAGGCTGGATTATCTGGAGAAATGAAGGAGAAGTCATATTATCACAATGACTTGTGGCATATACCACTATTAGCAAAAGTTACATTTTAAATTGTTTCCAAATCTGTTCAAAGGTGACGCCATCCATGGTGACCAGCCAGGTATGGACCAGAATGGCTATGGCTTCAGCACTATTGACCATGACAATGACGGCTGCTCCCCCTGCATTACTCCTGACATTGCTCTAAATGAATGTTCCTCTTCAGAAGATGCTGCTGCTTGGTGGTACAGTCGCTGTGGCTCTGCCAGTCTAAATGGTCAATGGCACCCTGTTGGTGACAACATTGGTTGGGTGTCAGGCCTTCACTGGGGAACCTGGAAACCTTCTTATATGTCTTATTCTGCCAAGGCCAGCAGAATGATGATCAAGTCTGTGTGAAAGGAAGTAGTCTGCCCATGTTTAACTTTTGAGGCAAATTTGTAATTTAAAACATTGGGCTATGGAAATAAATTTTAACCTGAAGATGGTGGTTGTCTTGCTTATTTCACATTTCCTGGGTGTGTCTGTCTTTGGAGAGTATTTATTCTTTTCAAATATCTGCATGTCAGCACCTTAGAATAAGTTTAGGAGAAGATGTAAAATAGAAATTAAGACCCAAATCATTTGCATCTCACCTGGAAAGTGAACAAGAGCAGACAACAGGTGCAGGAGGTGGTGAAGGCTCCACCATAAGTGACCTGAGCTCCCACAGAAGCAACAACAATTCAAGTTTAGATGGTCCTGTTAGGGTGATTTTTATTTTATACACTTAAGAATGGTTTTATTTTATAGCACACATAAGTTTACATACTTATATGTCACAGATATGCTTATATAGTTATGAATATCACTATATGTGTTCACTTAACCACTGGTCAAATATTTGCTGTGTGAGTTACTGAAACACTAATGCAACATCATAAGTCTGGTGCACTGAGTGGTTTTCCAAGGACTAATCATCCCACAGGTTTTCATTAGATTTGTTGCCTTTTCCTAAAAGAGCCCATTATTCCCTCTGCTCCTTGAAGCCAGGGGAGTTGAGGTTTGATAAGATACTAAGAAGCGTTGTGGGCTGTGCAAAGTGTCTGTTTCAGGACAAGGTCGCGCCAGGGACGAGATCGGACCAGAATGGGGGACCAATGATGGGAGAGTTAAGTCTAAACCACAGCTTCTCCCCAACAATTTTGGACCAATCAGATAGTAGAACCTTTTCATACAAATATTGTATACCAACAAGTTGAGGACAGTCTTTCCTGTTTATCCTAAACAGTGGAGATCCATGTGCACATGCTAATTTTGATACGTTAATGCATAATAAATTTCACATTGAGAAATATATATCCTCTTATTAGTCTTCTCTTTTCAATATAAAACGAACAAGCACCACAGTCCCAAATAACAACCTATCAATTCTAATCATAAAACAAAGTAAATACAAATTAAAACTATAAACACAATTTTGACACCCCTGTCTCTTGTCCTTCTCTGTCCTACATTTCCCCTCCCAGGACACAGAAGTCACGGTTTTAAGATTTAATGCAACTGCGCAATTAAGATCTTTGCATTACCTGCCATTTTCAGAGAAATATAGGTTGAGAGTGGTCTGTTTTACACTGAAGTAAAACAGTCCATCAGGTATTGCAGACCTCGACCCCACTGGCAGGAGCAAACAGTGTAAGCTGGGGCCCTGTCAATGAATCATGGATGAGGTGGAAATTTGAAGGCTGGCTGAAGGGTGCTCACTCTAATAGGTTTTATGCAAAACACATGAAAAGTAGGATGTACCCTAAGAGATCTAGGAAGCTTGAGTTGTACTGTTACAGGAGTCACCACCTTGTAGATGGGAAATAGCCCAGAAAACAAGGTCCTAACTTCCTGCATTCAATCTTGAGGGGCAGGTCCTTAGTAGACAAACATACCCTCTCTCCCACTTGGTAGGCTGGAGCTCTAGAAGAATGTTGCCATTTAACACTGTGTAGAACTCAGTAAAGTAGTCCTGGACCAGGCCCAGGTGCGACAGCAATGTTTGATGAGAGCTTGGACTGAGGTACCCCTGTCTCCTCTTCTTGGGCATAGAAAAGTGGGGGCTGGAATCCATAGGCAGCCTGAAATGGGGTGAAGCCTGTGGCAGGTGTGGGGAGGGGAT